AAAAAATATACAAAAGTTAGGATAAAGGATTATTATTTAAAGAAAAAAAGAGTCAGGCATGATGGCAAACATCTTTAATGCCAGCACAAGGGAGGCAAGGGAGGTAGGGTGGAGGGAGGCCTCTGTGAGTTCAAAGCCAGACCTTTGCAAGTCCCAGGTCAGTCAAGGACATAATAAAGCAAGTCTTGAAAAAAAAAAAAAAAAAAAACAAGGGCCAGAGAGATGGCTGAGGTTAGCACTGGCTGCTCTTTTTTTTTTTTTTAAAGATTGATTTACTTTTTTTTTAATATTTATTTATTATGTATTTATTTATTATAGATAGTGTTCTGTCTGCATGTATGCCTGCAGGCCAGAAGAGGGCACCAGACCTCATTACAGATGGTTGTGAGCCACCATGTGGTTGCTGGGAATTGAACTCAGGACCTTTGGAAGAGCAGGCAATGCTCTTAACCACTGAGCCATCTCTCTAAGAGGCCCCCATTGGCTGCTCTTCTGGAGGTCCTGAGTTCAATCCCCAGCAACCACATAGTGGCTCACAACCATCTATACTGAGATCTGGTGCCCTTTTCTGCACAACCACCACCCAGCACATTAAATTTTCTTATGACTAGTAGCACAATGGGCTTTGTTTATATGAATATCTTCACCAATATATTACTAAGATGCAAGACTACAATGGACTAATCACTAGGTATTAGGAATTTTTTATTGCCATTATATCCTTATGAGAGCACTGTTATGTATGCTACTAGCTGAAACACTATGCTACACTAATGTAAAACTTAATATTTGAGCTAGTGAGATGCAGTCACATCAAAGCATGAAGATTTGACTTAGGATCTACCACCTACATAAAAAAGCCAGGTGCAGAAGCACTCATCTGTAACCCCAGCACTGGCAGGGGAAGGAGTGCAATAGATGGATGCCTGGGGCTTACTGCATATATACATATGAACACACATATGCACAACATACACAAAACTGTTAATATCATTGGAAATAGAACAATGACTATAACAAAACACTTTATATTATTTTCGTAAGTTTCCTATGACCTAAAATAGTTCCAAGTCAAACATTTGGGCTGGGGGATATGGCTCAGTTGGAGTGCTTGCTTAAAAGCTCTCATGTGAATCCCTAGCACAACACACAAACCAAATAGGTGTAGTGGTGTATGCCTGTAATCCCAGCACTCAGGAGGGGTTGGTTGGCAGGATCAGAAGTTCAAAGTCCTCCTCAGCTATTCAGTGAGTTCAAGATCAACTTTAAATCTTGTCTCGAAAGAAAGAAAGAAAGAAAGAAAGAAAGAAAGAAAGAAAGAATTATTGAGGCTGGAGAGATGGCTCAGTGGTTAGGGGTTTCCTGTTCTTTCAAAGAACCCGAATTTGATTCCCAGAACCCATACCAAGTGTCTCTGAACTGGCTGGGCAGTGTGGGACACACCTTTATTCCCAGCACTCTGGGAGGCAGAGGCGGGCGAATTGCTGAGTTTGAGGCCAGTCTGGACTATAAAAGCAAGTTCCAGAACAGCCGGTGCTGTTACACAGAGAAACCTTATCTTGAAAACCAAAAAAATGGTGTCTTGGAACTGCCTGTAACTTCAACTCCAAAAGATTCTATACCTTCGTTTGGCCTCTTGAGGGTACCCACACACATATGGCACACACTCACATATATACAAATAAAAATATTTTCAGATAGATATAGATAGATAGATATGGAGAGGGGGAGAGGGAGAGGGAGGGAGGGAGGGAGGGAGGGAGGGAGAGAGAAGAGAGAAAGAGGTCAGAACAAAAATTTTATCAGTCCATAAGTCAGTAGTCACCCTGGGGAAGAAAAGGCTCAAGACTAGAAAGAGGTATTACTGCTAGGGCACCACTATCTTTCTGGTCTGAGACTGGCAGATATATTTAGTGAAAATTCACTAAATGATTATTATATGTGCAATTTTTTAATCTATCACATTTCCCCAAAAGTATTTTTTTTTAACTATTTACTTTTATTTTGTGTACTGGTATTTTGCCTGCTTGTGTGTAGTGTCAGCAGAGGCAAGAAGGCACCAATTCCTAACTAGAGCTGTTAGCCACTGGTGCTAGGACTCAAATCCTGATCCTCTGAAAGAGCACAAGTGCTTTGTTACCACTAACAATCTTTTCAGCTCATTAATTTTTATTTATTTGATTTTTTTGATATTTTTCAAGACAGGATTTCTCTGTAGCTTTGGAGCCCGTCCTGGCACTAGCTCTTGAACACCAGGCTGTCCTCAAACTCAGAGATCCACTGCCTCTGCCTCTAGAGTGCTGAAATTAAAGCACCACCATCGCTCAGTGCCCATTAATTTTTTTTCTTTTTCTTTTCTTTTCTTTTTTGGTTTTTCGAGACAGGGTTTCTCTGTAGCTTTGGTGTCTGTCCCAGAACTAGCTCTTGTAGACCAGGCTGGCCTCAAACTCAGTGCTGGGATTAAAGGCATGTACCACCACCGCCCGGAGGCCCATTTTTTAAAGAGTTATCTACTTTATTTTATGCATATGAGTGTTTGCCTGCATGTATATATGTACACCATGAGCTTGCCTGGTTCCCTTGGAGGCCAGATGAGGGTGTCAAATCCCTGGAACCGGAGTTGCAGGCAGTTGTAAGCTGCCATGTTGGTGCTAGGAACTGAACCTGATCTTTAGCAAGAGCAGCAAGTACTCTTAGACACTGAACCGTTTCTCCAGCCCTCCACCTCAAGTATTTTTTAAGATAGTTTTACCTCTAGTAATAAAGATAGAAAGATTTAAAAATTCTTTCAATTTAAAGCAGTAACTAACTATAACAAATAACTAACTATAACAAGTAAAAAGGGCAAACTTCGGACATTAGGCCCAGGGGAACCCTGAAAATAAACCTAGCCTACTACTTTCCTCATTTTGGACACTAGATCTACTATCTTTTTTTGTTGTTGGGTTTTTTGGGGTTTTTCTTTTTTTTTTTTTTTTTTTTTGCAACAGGGTTTCTCTGTCTGTTCTGGAACTCACTGTAGACCAGGCTGAGCTCAAACTCTTTCTGCCTCTGCTTCCAAGTGCTGAGATCAAAGGTGTGTGCCACCACACCTGACCTCGATTTCCTATCTTTTTAAAGATTAATTAGAGAGCTACCCAACTCAAATAAGACTCACAATTTGTAAAAATGATGGCTAATACTGTCTAATTGACAGGATATAGAATCCTAAAGAGACAAGGCTCTGAATATATCTATGGAGAACTGTCTAGACAGATACGGCTAATTGGGGTACCCATCATAACTACGAGCAGCACCCCTGGGTTGGGGTCCCAGAAAGCATTAAAAAAAAAGCTATGAACTGCTAGCTGTTATCCCTCTCTACTTCATGACTGCAGCTACAATGTGACCAGCTGCTTCAAGCTCTTGCTGCCATGACTTCTCCATCACAATGGATTCTACTTCAAATACAAGCTAAAGTAAACCCTTTTGGAGGTGGAAGATGGCTTGCTGCTCTTTCAGAAGAAAATAAGCACCTAGCACCCACATGAGGTGGCTCACAACTGCCTATAACTCCAGTTCCAGGACGTCTGACTCTCTCTTCTGGTCTCTACACATGGCAGAAACACATGCACATACATGCACATAAATAAAAATAAAATTAATTTTTTAAGATTTATTCACTTATGTATACAATATCCTGCCTGCATGTATGTCTGCACACCAGAGGAGGGCACCAGGTTTCATTACAGATGGTTGAGTCACCATGTGGTTACTGGGACTTGAACTCTGGACCTCTGGAAGAGGTGCTCTTAACCTCTAAGCCATCTCTCCAGCCCCCTAAAATCAATCTTTTTAAAAATAAAAAATAACCTTTCCTTCTTAAGTTGTTCTTGTAAGCTACTGATTCACACTAATAAGAAAAGTAACTAAGTGTGAATTACAAAATACAAACTGGAGCTGGGCATGGTGACTCACTCCTATAATCCCAGCACTCAGGAGGAAGAGGCAGGTAGATCTCTGTAAGATTGAGGCCAACTTATAGAAACTATATAGGAACTTATAAGAAAATATATAAGAAGGTCCAGGCAAGCTGGGGCTACACAGTGAGACCCTATCTGAGAAAAAGAAGAAAAAGAAAAAGGAAGAAAAGGAGAACGAAGGCTTCTAATTTTAGACATAAACACTTCACTAAAAACAGATTGATTATTAAAAACAGATACAGATTAATTTTAAATTCATCCAAGTGGCTACTCATAAAACAGAACAAGAAGAAAAAAGCATTACTATGTATGCCTGCTGCTGTAGGAATCCTAATAACTAGATGTTAAGCCAAAAATTTATCCTTCCTGTAATAAAAGTCAAAAAATGAAGGCTGGCTGGAAAGTGGTGGTGCAGGCCTTTAGTTCTACCACTTGGGAGGCAGTGGCAGACAGATCTCTGAGTTCAAGGCCAGCCTGGTTGATAGAGCTAGTTCCAGAATAGCCAGGGCTACAGAGAAACTCTGTCTCAGAAAAAAAAAAAGGAAAGAAAGAAAAGGCTGGGAGATGGCTCAATTGGTACAGTGCTTACCGTGCAAACATGGGGCCTGAGTTCCGATCCTCAGCACCCATACAGAAATGTCAGGTGCAGTGGCATGTGCCTATAGTCCAGCATCAGAACAGCAGTGATAGGAAGATCCCTGGGCTTGGTGAATTAGGTAAGTCCAAACAAATCAGTGAACTCCAGGTTCAGTGAGAGACTGTCTCAAAAAACAAAGTAAAATGACTGAAGAAAACACTTGACATTCACCTCTGACCTCCACATTCATGTGTGCACACACATGCACCTGCACTGGCACATACACATGAACACAGACCAAAAAACTTAGAAAATGTTCTATATAAATGAGAGTAATAGTTCTTTGTTTTCACTCAAGAACAATCCAAGTTAAAACGAGCTTCAAACTCTTCCTCTGTACAGTGAATTTATGCTTATATGTGTGTATTTACAGAAGTATAGACACAGAAACACATACACACCTGGACAGTCTACTAAGGCTCTCTGTTCATCAGTTTGTCAGAGTGCATACTGCATACTTCAATACAAACCTAAAGTGAAGAGAGAAAAAACAATCTTTTGTGTAATATTTTCTAATTTTATAGTATATATATATATTATCTACATCTTTTTTTTTTTTTTTTTTTTGGGTTTTTCGAGATAGGGTTTCTCTGTGGTTTTGGAGCCTATCCTGGAACTAGCTCTTTTTTTTTTTTTTTTTTTTTTTTGGTTTTTCGAGACAGGGTTTCTCTGTGGTTTTGGAGCCTGTTCTGGAACTAGCTCTTGTAGACCAGGCTGGTCTCGAACTCACAGAGATCCGCCTGCCTCTGCCTCCCGAGTGCTGGGATTAAAGGCGTGCGCCACCACCGCCCGGCTTTGGAACTAGCTCTTGTAGATCAGGCTGGTCTCGAACTCACAGAGATCCGCCTGCCTCTGCCTCCCAAGTGCTGGGATTAAGGTGTGCGCCACAACCGCCGGGCCCTACATCTTATTTTTAAATACACTATTTTCACAGTTACATATTTAATTAACCAGGTATACTCATACCCCTATTCACAAGGGCAACATTAGCCATAGCATCTCTAGTAAGTACTAAGACTAATAACAGATGGCTACTATAATTGCTATTGTATGTTTATATTCCCTCTGAAATATATTTAGGTTTTTTCTTTTTTGATAGCTTTCAAATTTATAAAATTTATCTTATTTGTTTGGGAAATGGGCACACAAGCCACAGCACCTGTGTGGAGATTAGAGGACAATTTTATGGGATCCGTTCTCCTTTTCCCTTCACCTGGGATCTGATCTGGGGATTGAAGGTCTGTATCATCAGCTTGCACAGGAAAGGCTTTCCCTGAACCATCTTGCCAGCATTCTTTCAATACTTTTTAGGTTTCATAAATCTTTTCATAATATTCCTCTTTACTTTTGGCTTACACTGATTTAATTTCTAATAAGTCAAACCTGTAATGTAGCAAGAGAAAAATATGACTTAAATATTTCGTTACAAAGAAATCTGTTTGGGACTGAGAGACAGCTCAGCAGTTAGGAGCATTTACTACTCCTGCAGAGGACCCAGCTCAAATCCCAACACTCATGTAGAGCAGCTCACAACCACCTAGAGCTCCAGCTCCAGGAACCTGACACCTCTGGATTTCTCGGACAGCTGCACTCAAGTGGACACACCCACACACAGACACACTCACATACACACAGACACACTCACATACATACAATTTTTAAAAAATAATACAAGTAACCAGGTGGTGGTGGCACACACCTTTAATCCCAGCACTCGGGAGGCAGAGGCAAGTGCATGTCTGTGAGTTCGAGGCCAGCCTGGTTTGGAGAGTGAATTTCCAAGATAGACAGGGTTGTTACATAGAGAAACCCTATCTTGGGGGAGGGGCAGTAACAATACAATTGAGTCTCCATCTCTGGGGATCTGATGTCCTCTTCTGCTCACTGCAGGTGCCTACACACAAGCATGCCCATAACTACACACAAAAAGTCATCAAATTTAAAAAGAAAAACTGGCAGAACCAGGTATGGTGGAATGTGCCTGTGATTTCAGACAAAAAACAGTGAGTTGAGAAGAAGAACAAGACCCTATCTCAAAACCACCACCCAGACTTAGGAGAGCACAAAAAAAGCAATTTTGTGGTTCTCTACTGAGAAGTGCTGTCTTTTAAAAGCCCCTCCCTTTCTTAATATAGACTGTAAATCCTACAAGATCAATACTAACATTAATCCCATTTTAAAGATGAAGAAACTGAAGCCCATTGTACAGTCAAGATTTAAAACAAGGAATGCCAGCTCCAGAACTTATCTCCTTAATTAATATAAGAAATCAAAATTTTAATTTCTGCCCCAGCCACAATGATTTAGGCCTATAAAGCTAGCACTCATAAGACTAAGGCAAGCGGTCTAATGCAAGTTTAGATCAGCTGGAGCTAAATAGTAAGTTCTAGGTCAGCCTGTGCTACAGTGTGAGGCTCTGTTGAAAGTAAGAGTTTAATTTATATGATTATAAATTAGCAGGATGTGACTGCCAATGAAACAAATCAACTGTTTTAAAGGCAGTGGAAAGCCAGGAATAACGGCGCACATCTGTAACCCTACTAGCACTGGGGGAGAAGTGGAGGAGAAAGAGGTGGATACCCGCTAGCAAGCCAGCCAGACTAGCCAATCAGCGAGCTCATGTTTCTGTAAGCGCCGTCTCAGACAGACAGGGTGGAGAGCCCTAGAAAAGTGGCTTGAGTTCTCACCTCCACATGTGCGCTTGTAGACAATAGCATTCACATGTGCACATACACATTAAAACAGAGAGAACGGTATAATCCATAAAGAAGTCACTAGTCCTGTGAAGAGCTTTCAAAAGGACAGTGAAAGAAAAAACTCTTTAGTGAGTTCCAGGACATCCAGAACTATAGTGAGACCCTGTGTTAGGGATAAAGACGGGAGGGAGGGAAGGGGAGGAGAGGGGAAGGGAGGGAGGAAAAGAGGGAGGGAAGGAGGGAGGGAGGGAGGGAGGGAGGGAGGGAGGGAGGGAGGTTTGCCTAAAGCAGAAAAGAACTGCCAGGTGTGCTGACACGCTCATGTAATCAAAGCATTCAGCAGGCTGAGGCAAGAAGATTCCTGTAAATTTAAGGCCAGCCTGAACTACCTAGTAGATAAATGACCAGCCTGAGCCACACAACAAAACTAGCAGACTAGAAGAGAGAAGAAATAAGAGGACAATTAATTGTATGTAACTTGAAATATCTGAAATGAGAACATAATGTGAAAATACAATTACCAGTTCAATAAAAGAAATAACCAATAAAAATTAGGTTAGGAATGGTGGTACAAGCCAAGCCTGTAATCCTAGCAACCAGGGGTGGGGGGGAGGTAGGGAGGCTAATGCAAGAGGATTACTGCAACCGTGGGCTAAAGTCAGTTTAAGACCAGCCTGGAATGCATAGCAAGAACCTGTCTCAAAAACACACACAAAAAAGTTAGTTATTCAAGTAACTTTGTCTATGAAACTGTGAATGACCTCTCAAAAATGTACAAATACAAATTATTTTGCAAACCACTTCGAAGGGTTCATTAGCCTTTATTTAAATAATTTATGGATCTTTAGAGTCCTAAAGGAGTAAATTTTCTCTCTCTCACTCTCTTTTTTGAGGAGAGCACAGACGTGGAAAAATAAGAGGATAACCTCCAGGAGTTATCCTGAAACTCCATGCACCCTGTGGGTCCCAGAGGAGCAGCTACGGTCAGCAATCTTGGTGTCAAGCACCTTTACCCACTGAACTATCTTGCCAGCCCCATTTTACATTTAATTGGCTTTAAAATCCTTACAAACTCCCAGCCTGATTTCTTCTGAGATCCATTATGACACTTACTGCAATGAGTCTAAAAGATCGTGAAAAGAATGTACATCCTAGCGGGGCGGAGGTGGTGCACACCTTTGATCCCAGCACTCGGGAGGCAGAGGCAGGCGGATCTCTGTGAGTTTATAAGGGCTAGTTCCAGGACAGCTAGGACTGTTACACAGGGAAACCCTGTCTCCAAACACAAAACAAAACAAAAGCAAAAGAAAAAAAGAATGCACATCCTATTTAAAGGTGGGGTTTTATTACTCTTATTTTCCTAGTGCTGGGCCTCCAAATAGGGTGTGGGTAATTACCGTACCACTGAGCTATGGCCCAGCCCTCAAACTGTACTGAAAGCTCACAGCTCAGTTAAGAATTTTGGCTGCATGGGTAAAACTTGCAAATGCCAAGGACTGCACATTCACAAGGGTGGAGAGGAGGGAATTATAGCCACAAAATATTAATAGGAATAATTAAAACTCAACTTCCTTTCTTAAGTAAACGGCATGTAATTAAGGTAACTAGGGCATTTAATAATCTCGGGCCTTTCTTAACCAATGTAAGCGCTGCATTCCTGAAACTGCAACCGCATGCCAGCACCGTGCTACAGACACCATGTCTGCCATAACACTAAGCTAGTTCCAGTCACAAGATGTTCTAAAAGTAAGCCCGTCCAGAGCCAGTACACAAGCGTGACAGAACCTGGGGTCTGGCCGCGGAAGTTATCTCCTGCTGCGATGTGAGAATAGACACCAATTCTAGCAATGGGACAGTGGTGTGAAGCTTTACCTAAATCGCTGATGTTAACCGGTGAAACGGAAAGAGCAAAATGCAAAACAGATTATGTCGACACTTTATATTCAACTTTGAATTCTGCCACACTGAAAAAAAAAGACAAGTAAGTTAAACCGTATTTCCTGGTTAAGATGATTTCAAACCATTAAGGGAACAAAACACAAGTGACCCAGAAAAAAAAAATTATAAGTCAAATGAAAGGCGGCAGCCGAGTCTGTAGAGGAAGGTAGGGACGTGGGCTAGGGAGTCGGAGCCCCTTGAGATGGAATGAGGAAAGACACAGAAGCATTCAAAGACTCGAAAGCACGTTCAGCAACTACCAGAGAAAAAAGCACGAACCTGCTAACTGTTTCTGGCTGTGGCATTTTTATTGCTGCAGCGTTGGAAATCGAACCCAGGGCTTTAGGAATGTTCAGCAAACACTGTCCCACCGAGCTACAAGCAGGCTATACAAGACCGGTGACTTATTTCAAATGGAAAGGGGAAACAACATGGGGTCCAGAGTCCCACCGGGCGAGGTGGTTACGCGTTTCATAGAGGGAAGCTTTGTTCTAAGTGCATCCCCGAGATCAGACCCTTTCCCGATCGCGCCACCCTCCCCCTCCTCGCAGAGGCAGATCTGGTCCACAGATGAATACACCGAGCCCACACAAAGCACGGGAACACGGGCGAGTGTCCATGCACGTCACCGTGCCATCTCTCGGCGGGAGCCCACGGACACTTTCCCACTGCCCTGTGCACAGCAACCATGAGTCCTGCCTAATTCCTCCGAGACATCGGATAGAGAATGGAACCTCCATTTAAAAGTAAAAGTTACTTAAGGGAGCCTGGGGGGTCTCCAGGTACGTAGAGCTTTGGAACTCTGTGAAGCGCCCGGCAGAAACCAGAGGCTTGTGAACCACGAAGCCCGGAGGAAAAGTCAGAAGACCTGAGTGAAAATCCAGGCAGCCCTTGCCCTTCCTGATCCTAGAGCAGGGAGAGCCTGCAGGCTTCCGAGCCTCATCAGGCACTGGGGGGGAGGAGGGGAGGGTTGCTTAGCCGGGCTGCCCAGAAACCCTGGGGACACGCAGCGAGCCCCGCGACAAGAAGTCCCGCGACGAGACAGGGAGGGCCGACAGGCAGGAACCGCGCCCGGTCCAAAGGCCCCGGCGTGCAGGCCCGCGCCCTTTCCCGGACCTTACCGGCCGCTCGGTGCAGAGGGGCGGGCGGCGCGTACAGCCCTCGGCCCACGTCCGGGACGCGTCTTCGGGAGCTGGCGCTCCTCAAGCAGAGCCAGGTCGGGTGAGAGCGAGCGAGCGAGCGAGCTTCCACCAGCGCAGCCGCGGCCTTCGCGACGCTCCCGCGCGCGTCTGCAGCCTGCGGTGGCAAGAAGGGTCAAGGCGCGCCCCGCGTGCCAGGCAGCGACGGCCGCACAGCCCAGCGCGCCCAACGCCGTCCGCCCTCAGCGACACGGCCGCGGCGCCGCTTCCCCCGCGCTCGCTTTGGCGGCGGAGCAGCACGGTGCGCGCCGATTGGTCGTCCGGGGTCCTGACGCGCGGCGACGCTCTCCGCGGATTGGCCGGGCCGCGGTGCGTGTAGGGAGTAAACAAAACCCGCCCCCGGGCTCGCCGCCGAGGGGAGGGGCCGAGGTGGGTGGCGGGCTCCCCGGAGCTCGCCCCGGCCCTTTGACCTCCGTGGCCGCGCTCCCCACTAGGGGCCGCCCTGCAGCCCTGCCTGCCGCCGGTCCCCTGCCACCTCCGGGGGCGGCCGCGCGGCCAGAGGCCTGAATGGCTAAGCTCGCCCTTCCCCCGTCGGCCCCGCACCTCACCTCCGCCCACCACCTGGCTTCTCTCTGCTCTAGAGCGTGGTTCTTTTCCATCCCACCTCTCTAGGGAAGACCGGAACTAAGGTCCTTACATCTCATCACGGACCTTCGACGTTCCACTATTCCTGAAGTAGCTGAGAGGCTGAGGGACAATAGTGACCCCGAGGCCACGCGTAGACCCCAGAGGAGGGGGTCCTACTTCAATTCCTGGAGAAGTGCGGATACAAATTAGACCTGATCACAACAACCACGTTGAAGTCGAAGAGAAAGTGAAGGCACACACTCCCAAGTACCTGGTCATTTATTAAATACTCAGTTTGATGTGATGGCTCATGTCTTTAATCCCCGGACTCAGACAAAGGCAGACACAGACAAAGCAATGCGAGTTTGAGACCAGCATTGACAACCTATTGAATTCAGACCCAGGCAGGGCTTCACAGTGAGACATAGTCTCGAAAAAGGAAAAAAAAAAGGGCAGGGGGTGGGGGTGGGGGTAGGGGTTGCCGTTTCAGGTGCATATGTAAAATCCTGTGTGAGCCTTTGTTAGTGCGGAAGGTTGGAGGTAAAATAGGAGATTCTGACTTTTAAATAATAATCCCAGCGTTCAGGAGACAGAAGCCAGTTTGAGGCCAGTCTAGTCTGGTCTACAGAGCAAATTCCAGGACAGCCAGGACTTCACGGAGAAACCCTGTCTCGAAAAAAAAAAAAAAAAAAAAACAAAGTAAAATAAATTAAAAATTTAGATACTTCGATCTTTCTCATTTTAATTTCTTTATAACTCAATGAGCCAAACACAATTTGTGATGCTGGGGATATGTATACAAGAGTCACAAATTCTTAGCTTCATTGATTTTATGTTCCAATGAGGTGGGAAGATGATCGTCGAAATACTAAAAGAAATCTAAACCAGGCAGTGGTGGTACAAGCCTCGGCGAGCATAAGGGCAGGTTTTGTTTACTCCTAGTGTCAGGCAGATCTCCATGAGTTCGAGGCCAGCCTGGTCTACAAAGTGAGTTCTAGGACCTCCAAAGCAACAGTGAAATACTGTGGGGGAGGGGGGAACACCCTCAAATGATAGTAATCCTGGTATTCCTAGGTAGAAGCAAAAAATCAGAAGTTCAAAGTCAACCTCAGCTACAAAGCCATTTGATGCCATCCTGGCCTACATTACCCTGCATTTCACAAAAACAGGTCCAACAACAACAAAGCTACTATACTCCATGATGTTACAGATAAAAATAAACTAAGCACAGAACTAAAGTAGTGTGATAAGGGAAATCAACTCTGAGAGGTTACCGCTAAGTAAATATCAGCCCAGAGTGGTGGCATATGCTTCTGGGAGGCAGAGCCAGGGGTTTAAAACCAACCTGGTCTACAGGAGATCCTTTCTCAAAAAAATAGAGATACAATGGGGTGGTGGTAGTGCACACATTTAATCTCAGCACTCGGGAGGCAGAGGCAGGTGGATCTCTGTGAGTTCGAGGCCAGCCTGGTCTACAGAGTGAGTTCCAGGACAGGCTCCAAAGCTACCCAGAGAAGTCCTGTCTCCAAAAACAATAGATAGATAGATAGATAGATAGATAGAATATAGAGAAAGGTAGATGGAGTAGAATAAATGTATAAAGAGGTGAGGGGGACAAGGAACAAACACCTTTGGCTCTTTCTTTGCTAGTATTCGATATAAATTTTGCACAATGTTCATGGGTAAAATCCTCAGAATTCCAAAATTTCAACACACAGTAGTCCTATGATTCTAAAATCCAAAAACTTCAATTGAATGATTGCCTTTCCCACTGACAAGTGAATTCGGATTTATTTAATTTCCACAAGAAATTTTGTTAGTGTATTGTGTTCACCTTATTTAGTAAATACCATGCTGGGTGGGAGTGGACTAACCTTTAAGCCTAACATTAGGGAGGCAGAAGCAGGCAGATCTCTAAGTTTGAGGCCAGAGTCATCTACAGAGTGAGTTCCTAAATAGCCAGGGCTACCCAGAGAAACCGTGTCTCAAGCAAACAAACAAAACAAAAAGCAACAAAATTACTAATCTTGGCATTAAAGATACAAAAGTCAGCATGGCAGAAAAAAAAAATCTTTACCTAGATCCAGTAGAGAATTATGAAGTGCCTCAACATGTATAGCTATAAGGAAGCAGAGACACGAACTGTGGGGGCTAATGTGGAGAAAGGGGTACCCAGGACCTCACTCCAGGTCAAGGAACCAGTCCACGTCCAAGGGAATGCATAAGTGTGGAGATCAGAGTACTTGCCGACATGGGTTCTTTTCTTCTGTGGGTCTCGGGATTAAAATCAGGGTGTCAGGTTTGGCAGCAAATGCCTATAACCCCTGATCCATCTTGCCATATTCCCTTGAACTCTTTCTACGGTGGAAGCTTGAAAGACAAAACCTAAGTTGGGCCAGTCACGTGATGCATGCCTTCAGTCTCAGCATGCGGGAGGAAGAAGCATGTAGATCTCTTTGAGTTCCAGTCCAGCCTGGTCTACACATTGAGTTCTAGCAAGCCTGGGCTGCATAGAACGATCATGTCTCAAAAAGCCAGAAGAAAAACAAAAGTAAGTGGAACTATATGAAGCTACTGTGTGGTTTGGTGTCCTCTTGTGAGCATTCGCACGAGACACGCAATACGAACAGTAAATGTTCACCAAGTATGCCATCTGTTCTTCAGCGTTGCTTCTGAAACAGATAACTGAAAAGTCCACATTCCACAGTACTTTCCAAAGCCAAAAGAGCTAAATCCGCAGGAGAAGCCTTCAAATTTTTCCATACACTAGTTTGATCTAACTGTGAATTTCCATGACCTAATGGGGGTATGCTGTAAAAGACGGTAAACGCTAGTTTCACAACAGGCCAAGAACTCAGAACGAGGAAGAACAGCTTGGTTTTGAAGCCAAATACTGAAAGTTCTCCGGTACTGAATAAATTGAGTTGCTACAGGGATGAAAATTCATGTAAATCAATTTTTCATTCCCACTCCTAGTTTCAATTTAGCAATGTGCACAAGCAGCTTTCTGTCTACCTTCTCATCTCTCCATTAAGAGATCCTATTTCCTTTGAAAAAGAAATGAAGTCTTCATCATCTCCAGTGCCGGAGAATAGATGTCTGAGCTGGGACGGCACATCTATTGATTCAGCACTTACTAGGCACTTACTGTGTGCCAAACACTGAGCACAGATCAGAAGCACAAACATAAATGTCTCAGGAGCTGTTAAGTGGTATCTCGTGATCTTAGAAAACCCCTCGGCTCACCCAGTTCACTTTATGCCTTATCAGCTAAGCTTTCCTTACTCCAAAGAGGAGTCTCTTGGCCGCCCATTTCCAGCTCTTTCTCCTCATACAATGTTGTCTGCCTTGCTAACGTTGAATAAAGATGTAATGATCCACTTGGATCTGTAGCCTGCTGAGCTGTGAGCGCCTTCGGAGTCAGAGCGACTCATTTTCAGTGCCATTATCGACAAACACACAGCAGCTAGCCAGTAAGTACATTTGAAAGGGGAAGCAAAGTATAAGGAACACGGCATGATTTGCACACCTAGGTATTCAGAAGATTGAGACCGCAGAGTTGCGAGCTCAAGACCAACCTAGGGTACATAGTGAGTTCAAAAGCAACCCGGGAAACTCTGTACTAAACTAAATTTTAAAAGGACAAAGACTGGGCACGTAGCTCACTGGGAGAGCATTTGCCTATTGCCTATCACCTACAAGGCCCTGAGTTCAGTTACCATTGCCAACAAAAAGATACCCAGATAAAGTCACCCTTAGTCAGGCACGGCGATTCTGGCCTAGACTGGCAGCACTTTGGGGAGGTGGAAGCAGGAAGTTCAGGGAATTCAAATTCAGACTCTACCCTATGGTGAGTCCAAGGCCAGCAGGAATGAAGAAGCCCTACAAGAAACAGGTCTCAAAAAACGCACAAATACAGAGCTCCTGATTTGGCTCCGTGAATGTGAATATCTCAGTTGGGGTTTCTAGTGTTGTGCTGAAACACCATGAAGAAAAAGCAAGTGGGAGGGGAGCTTATTTGGCTTACATTTCCACCTGACAGCCCATCATCAAGGAAGTCAGGACAGGAACTCAAACAGGGCAGGAACCGGAGGCTGAAGTAGAAGCCACAGTGGAGGGCTGTTTCCTGGCGGCTCCTCAGGGTTTGCTCAACCTGCTTTCTTTCTTTCTTTCTTTCTTTCTTTCTTTCTTTCTTTCTTTTACAATCATTTGTGTTTTGCCTGCATGTATGTCTGTGTGAGGGGTCCCCTAGAACTGCAGTTACAGACAGTACTAAGTTGCCATGTGCATGCTGGGAATTGAACCCAGGTCCTCTGGAAGAGCAGTCAATGCTCTTAACTACTGAGCCATCTCTCCAGCCCCTCAGGCTGCTTTCTTATAGAATCTGGAACCACCATAATGGCATCACCCACAACGAGTGCCCCCCCCCACCCCACCCCCCCCCCACCCCCCCCCCACCCCCCCCCCGCGCGCCTGCATCAATCGCCAATTTAAAAAATGACCTACAGCTGGCTCTTACGGAGGCATTTTCTCAGCTCAGATTCCCTCCTTTCAGATGACTCTACCTTGTGTCAAGCTGACATAAAACTAGCCAGGAAAATGGGTAAAGGTTTTTGCTACATAATCCCGATGGGCTGATAAGGAGTTAAATCCCCAGGGCTCACGATGGAA